TTTTCTATGAGCAAATTTTTATATACTTATATATTTGCCTGTATTTAATATTTGTTTATAATAGTTTCCTATATGTATTTATTGCTAATTTTTAATATTTAAGTAAATTTGATAATTAATTTAAATTTTTCTTAAATTTTCTTATTATTTATTCCCCATTTTTTTAAACTATTCTAAGAAATTTTAAAATAGTTAAAGAAGTAATAATTAGTTTCTAATTTTTATTCCTAAATGTAAAGAGTTGATTTTGGATGCTTATATTTTTTAATTAATGCAAGTTTTTTTTAATAATAATGCAGACGATACATCTTTCAAATAAAATTATAATCAATAAAATGTTATTATCCGTTTTGGAAATATTTGCAAATTTAGGATAAAGTACTAGTTTATGTCTTGTATTTGTTGCCAAATTTGAAAGCTTGATTTTGAATGTCCATATAATTCAATTTTTTGTAAAATTCTTAAAAATAATGATAAATATATTTTTGTCACTTATTTAGCTTTCAAATAAATTTAAAAATTATTAAAATTCCGTTATCAATTTTTAAATTATTGGCTTAATTATTGAATAGTGTCCGAAATTATTGAAGCATATAAATAGATATCAAGTAGAAAAAGTTAATCTCTAGTTTTAATAAAAACGGAAGGCAGATTTTGAATGCTTATATTTTTTTGATTTTTACAAAAATTGCAATAGTGATCTACAAAATATCTATTTTAAACAACTATCTTTCAATTGAAATAAAAATCATCAAAATCCCATAGCCAGATCTGGAAATATTTGCAAACTTGTGAAAAAGCGCCCTAAATTAGTTTAGCAAAACTAGTAAAATGTTCGTTAATATTTATAATTAATTTTAATTAGGGCAACTTGTCAATAGGCAAAATATTTTATTTATTATCATTGCATAATAAGCATTTATGTCTAAAGAAAAATTGAACAAAAGTTTTTTTTTATATTGTGGTTTGTGGTTTATTGTGGTTCAATAAATCAAAAATCTTTATGTACTTATATAAAGAAAATTTTATATAGATTGCTACAAATATATTTATAGATCAGAAATATGGACTCTAATATCAAAGTGGGCAACAAGAAAATTTGGGAACAAATTTAAAATTAGCCTGGGCTGCTATAATCAGGGAAAAGTTATGATTAGATAAAAAAATTGAAATTTTCAATATTTTGTGTTTTTTTGTCCAAAGTGGGCAATAAGAAAATGTGGGGAAAAATTTATAATAAATATGAGCAATTGTAACTATGAAAAAATATGCAGCAACAGATATATAGGCAAGAAATGTGTACTTAATATGCATTGTTATATTTTAACGTGGAAAATGAGCAAATGCAAAATATAATAAATACAAATATGGGCATCAGTTATTATTTGGACAATGGGCAAATTTTTCCATAAATTTGAACAGAATAATTATTTTGTATTTATTTATTATAAGTACCATCAAATCTTTTTATGGAATATGTATCGATCGTAAGCAAAAATTTAATTTGAATTTTTATTAAATATGGGCAACTGCAAATATAGGGCAACAACAAATAAGGGCTATGTAAACAACAAATGTATATTTGATACACAGTATCTTTATTTAATGTTGTGAATGGGTAAATATAGAAACAAACAACAAGTAAATTTGGAGACCCATTTAATATAAATATGGGCAACAGTGATTATTAGGAAAAATTTGGATTATTAAAAAAATGTTCTTAGGTGGGCAAAATTTGTAATGATCACAGTACAATTATTTAAAAAATTCGTATTCAATTTATATCATTATAGAATTCATGGAAATTTTAAAATATATTTGGTATATAAATATGGGCAACAGTAATTATGGGAAACATGTACTCAGTGGGCAAAAATCACAATGAAAGCAGAACAAATTATTATGAAAAAATTGCATTTCATATATAATTTTGGTGAATTTATGGAAAAAAATATAATATATTTGGAATATAAATATGGGCAACAGTAATTATGTAATAAAGCATTAGAATTATCTCAAAAGCTTGTATTTTCTATAAATTATTTTGAGGAATAGATGAACAAAATTCTAATAAATTTGGAATATAAATATGGGCAACAGTAATTATGGGAAAAATTTACTCATTTGGGCAAAATTTGGAATGAGTTAAAAAATAATATACTCCATATTTTGTACTAGAAAAAGTTTAATCAAATCTCTAATAAATTTGGAATACAAATATGGGCAACAGCAATTATGGGAAAATGTACTTGGTCAAAAATTAAAATGAGAACATTAAAATTTCTCGAATAAAAAAAGTTTTAAGGAATGTATGATAAACATTATAATAAATTTAGAATATAAAAATGGGCAACAGTAATTATTGGGAAAATGTACTTCTGTGGCCAAAATTTGTTATGAATTATTAATGAACACTTTATTCTATATTTTAATTATAATTAATATGAATTTCAATAATTATGGGAAAAAGGGCATAAATAGCAAAATATTTAAAAAAAACATTATGTTTAGAAACACTATAAATGTTATAAAATAAATTATGTAATTGGCAATAGCACAAATTTTATTTGACCAATACTGGCAAATTTTGTTCAATTATGGGAAAATGGGCAACTGCAATTTTATTAAAATTCTGGGAACAAATTTATAATTAACGTAGGTAAGTGTAGCTTTTGTTAAAATTTGTAATCGCAAAAAAGTATTTAAAATCAATTGTTGGCAATAAGGGCAAATAAATTTATTTGTATTATAATACAAATAAAGTTGTAGTATGAGGGTTGGTAAATAGTTGCAACCGTTTGTGGGCAAAAAGTATAAAACATGTACAACTTCCATAACTGAGCATAAATAATTAATAAGTCTACACTTACGTTAGCTCATAAAAAACAAACTAAAACCAGCACTAACACCACACAAAAATTATATAACAATCACTTCAAAAACCACACAATTTTTTATATTTTTTCACTATATATCCTTTTATCCCTTTTTCCCTTCATTAATTTTGTCCCAGAGACCTGGAAAATCGTAGGAAAACTGTGCTACCAAAGCAGTCGATATGGTAGCAGAGAGGCACATGCGCGGAAATCGACATCGATTGTAAATGTAGTGGTGTGAATCGTACTTCAGGAGGAATTTGTATGAGTATGTACAAACTAGGGTTTATACAAAAACCGACATTTCAGAAAACCGGTTTTCGAATTTTAATTTTACAAAAAAACCGGCTTTAACCGGTTTTCAAATTTTATATAGAAAATAAATTTTTGCTCCAACATTCTGTAATTTATCCGCAAATTTAGTATAATTTAGAGCAGTATTTGACTGAATTTATTTATTGTTCAATTTTATAGATAGTAAACAAAATTAGTTTAATTTTAATTAGTAGAACTGAAAAATAATAGTTTATCTTGATTAAATAACTTTGAAAATAATTATTCGTTATTCATGCATCATTTTCACATAAAAGAATGAAAATATTTTTATGATAGTGAAAGGATTTCTAATAAATAAAAATAATACATTTAAAAAAAAAAACATTCATTAAATTAAAAACTATAAATAAATATTAGATACATTTTGATACATACTTTTTAATATCAATTTTAGTTTTAAAAATAATTAAGCTAAACTCGGGTATTGTCTGTTCCGAGCAATTTTTTTAAATTTTAATTTAATTAATTTTAAACATTCTAAATGTTTTTTGTTTAATAAAATATGATTTAAAAAAACTGAGAATGTCTATCAAATTTCTACATAGACGTGTCCCTTGTTTACTCACAAAATTTCCTGAAATAGAAAATACTCTCATACTTGCGACCAAATTATGCTTGATTGTTTTTAAAGCCTATATAATAATTTTTAGTTTTTTGTTCTTTAATTTGTGGCTTCTAGGTTTAAAATTCTTTTTTTTAAGTTTGAATAGAGGAAGTTACTTCTTCAAAAAGAAGTCACACTGATTTAAATTAATACATACACTGGTATAAAAATCTAAATTAATATATACAAAACTTTCTGGGAACCATTGCAGACTGATAGATAAGATCAAATGCTATAGAAACAATATGATTTCAAGAATCAAAATGCTTTCATCTATCTTTTATATTTGGCTATATTTGTCATTTTCCATTTATACAGTGAAAACCGACGTTTTCACTCAAAAACCGGTTTTTGGATTTCATAATTTTCGCCAAAAACCGGTTTTCTGACAAACCCTAGTAAAAACACTAATTTTCATATATAAAAATTGTAACAATATAGCGTTAGGAAAAAAGTTAGCTTGGAACATTAATTTTGACAAAAGAGTATTCTAGAAGTAATAATTCATTTTATAAAATTAATATGTGTAAAAATTTATTAAATTTGCTAAACTAAAGTATTCCTTTTTTCAATAAATTTTTAATTTATTCAATATGTATGTGTATATTTATTTTTACGTTTCTGAGTATATGATAAGTCTTCTTCTTCAGAAAAAATAGTACTTTAAAAACAAAGAATTATTTCATACTATAAATAATATATATATATATATATATATATATATATATATGTATATATATATATATATATATATATATATATATAGCGGTTTGTATTCGTAATACTTTTTCTCATATACTTCAGTATTATGTTTTCAAACCAAAGTTTCTCGAGAATCTGTATAGATAGAGGTACTGTAAAATAACAGCAAATATTTTTGAAATTTTATTAGAATAATACAAATATAACAAAATATATATATATATATATATATATATACATATATATATATATATATATATATATTATAAAGTATAAAATCACAATTACAAATAAATCACATATATATTAGTTAATACAAAAAATATTTGGACATTGCTCTATCTTATATATATATATATATATATATATATATATATATATATACAATTTTCATTTACATTCAGGAATGTTATTATATTTTTTACCAATACAAAAATATCTTAAAAATGTCATGGTACTTATATATTTAACAATACTTGATATCATTTGGATTTTTCGTATCCCCAGTCGAAGTTTTCTTTTATTTTGTCTCTATTTTGGGCCAATTTGTCCAAAGCGGCCCTTAAATCAAAATCCGGACCTGTTCCGCCGTATTCTGCCGGAAGAAGAGCCGGATTTATGTGTTTGTGTAGAGATGGCCAATTCGAGTAATGGAAATGAATCTGGAAATAAAAAAAATATAGAAAAAATTATTAAAAAAATATTGGAAAAATATTAGAAAAATTATTGGAAAATTAAGAGACAAATTAAAGATTTTGTTTAAACGAATTATTGAAAAATTTTCAATTCAAGTTATGAGAA